TGATGCACCACTATAAATTATTTCCGACTGTGATACTCGTTTCACTCCTCACTTTTGGGTGAGAATGAAGCATGAATTAGGATCTCGAGTTGCTCTTAGTACAACTTATCATCCTCAGACAAATGGTCAAAAGAAGAGAGTAATCCAAACAGTAGAAAATATACTGAAGGTATATAAAGTACTGTATTAGCATAAATGTCATACTCAAATATGTTGACGTGACGTAAGACGGAAAATCTTTAGAGGATCTAAAATGAATCAAGACATCACTAACAAGATACAAATTTTCCGAGAAAGAATGAAAGCGGCCCAGGATCGATAAATTCCCTATGCAGAAAAGAGAAGACGACCCGTAGAATTCCGGGTGGATGATTTAGTACTACTGAAGGTATTTCATGAAAAGGCGTTATACTACTTTGGAAGAAAGAACGGTTGGTAAGCAAGCATACTACTGGAATTGCCTGAAGACTTGGCAGATACACATGATATATTTCATGTAAGACATCTATGTGAATGTTAAAACGTATATGATGAAACGATTCCATTATCCGAGGTGAAACTGGATAATAAGTTAAGATATGTAGAAGAGATCGTAAATAAAAGAACGACTAATTTATGTAATAAAAAAGTGAAGTTGGTGCTTGTCAAGTGGAAACACCATCAAGTCCCAAATTAAACTTGGGAGAATAAGAAAGAGATAAGAGTAAAATATCATCATTTTAATCGTTATGATTTCGAGGACGAAATCCTCAAAAGGAGGAGGTATTTGTAACATACACATTCTGAAATTGTGTATTGTTATTATTAAAAGTGAATAAAATTAAGTGTTGAGTTGTAACAGCTAGTTTTTACTAGAAATGAAGTAAAACTATGTTTAGAATCACTCATAAAATATTGGAAGTCTTATGAGATTCCAATTAATAGCCCAATAGTGAAATTTAGCGAAAATATGAAATTTTAAATAAGTAAAATTTTATTATTTGATTTTGTAAATTATCTCATTAGAAACTTGTAGGCGAAAACCTCGTCGAAATCCGAGTTATAACGAAGAAGTTATGACCAACCGAAGATCCGCGACAAAACCGGCACGACACCGAATGACGTAAAAAGTGAATTTTTGATAAACTAATTTTTAGCCTTATAAATCTAAATGAAAGTCGTAGTATTTGTTAAACCGAGAAATTCGATAAAAAGAACGCCAAAATCTGACTTCGTATGAGGAAGTTATGATTTTTCGAAGTTTCAACTTAGCAGTAGACAGCTAAAAAACTCGAATTTTAGATCGAGCGATATTTTACCGATACATCCGAAACGAGAATCCAAGGTCTCGTCATATGTATTACAAAGGTAAAAAGTCTGACGAAAACGGATGTCGGATGAAGAAGTTATGAATTTTTAACGGATTTTCCTGTCCCGGTCTGTTAAAAATAATAATATTAAAATTAAATTCAAAATTAGCCGATGAAGTCTAAACAAAAGTTGTAGAGCGTAATTTTAGCTATGCATGGATATAAAGAACGTCAAAAACGGAGCTCGTATGCGAAAGTTATGGATTTTAGAAGTTTGGGGCCCATTTTCCGAGAAATTCGCATGAATAGTACTAGCCTCGCGAGATCTCGCCTCGTTTCCGACACGCGTCACGGTTCAGTTCGCCCAGAGCGTCAGTCCCTCGCATGTCCGACGCGTGCCGCTTCCGGATTCGGCCGATGTCGCGACCAGTAGTCTTCCGATGCGCGTTTCGCACCTGCCCCTCGCTACTGATGCCACCGAGCTGCTTCGCAAGCAGCTCCGTCACCCTTCCGTCCGAGCCTCGCTGGAGCCCTGCGCATCTGCCGCGTGTCCTCGCTGAGTCACCTTCTTGCCGAACCCTCGCCTGTAAATAGGAGGGTGCGAACCCTCCCGGCTAAAATGAGAAAAATTCCATTTTTCACCCCTAAATCCATATATTCACTATTTTGACTTTTCCCGAAGCCCCGGTATCATTTTTAAAGCCCAAAACACGTCCCGAGACCCCCGATAAGCCCGGAAAATTTTATCTTTTCGGTTTTGAAGCCCTACCTTCGCAGAGCCTGGTTTTCAATTAAGCTGTTGGTTTTCAACATAGAAAGACATATTTAAAGCCGAAATGTTGTCCAAATTACTATTTTAACCCCCGATTAACTTAAGATGAGTTCAATATATAGGAAAATTTGTATGTTATGTGTTATATGTGCTATGTGCTTCTCAGTGTTATTATTCCGAGTTATTCTCCCATGTTATTTTATTCGCTATGTTTATAACAATTATAATACCTTTGACCATGTGATCAGTGAAAGGACTTAGATTCACATTGGTACTGGTACGTAGCCTCTGGCCATGTAGAGCATGTCTCCGTAAGAGAATGACTTCTATTCTATGGCATTGGCATAAAGTTTGATAGAAATGGTATGTAGCCTCTGACCATGTAGAGCATGACTCCGTAAGAGAATGAACTCTATTCTATGGTATTGGCAAATGGTTAGACAGGGCTATAAGCCTGAAATCTACCAAAATGTTAATCAGAAATTGTAAGTCTTCTGTGCCAATTGGGCCAAAGCTTTATTGATGCATATCAAGTATTGAAATCGTTATGTCTCATTGAAAAGTATATCTTTGAATACAGTCTTTGATTGATATGGACGCTTGTCACATGATTTCACATATGTCTTCTTGTTCCCTTCTGCTTCTATCATATTGGTATATGTAAGGCATAAGATTATATTGTATCTATCTATTGAATTCACTAAGCGTTATCGCTTATTCCTCCCAATATTTAACAATTGCAGGTGATGAGTATTCCAATATAGCTTTATACTGCTAAAAGATTTAGAATAGTTAATAATATTTCTCTGTATTTTTAATGTTCATGTATGTATTTGAATAGTAGATTCCTGGGTAGACATGAAATGTAATAAAACTTAGTCGGTTTGTATCCAATTCTTTGTAATCACTTTATCAATATAAGATATTGTTTTATAAATATGCATCTAGCATGTTTTGAGGAAGTAACTTAAGAAATCTTTTGAAATAGTATGAAAGTTTGGGTCTTTCATAAATACGAAAGTTGGGGTCTTTCAAGTTTCTTCCCAATTAGCTGTTTATTCACATAAGTCATGAGCTACCTTACTCTTCCCGCTTTGATTTAAGAGTTTGCTGCTTAGTCATTTTCGCATAGTAGAGGTACACAATATATTTGGAACCACCTCCTACTACTTCTCCATCACTTTCGCATTCTCGAACGTAACCCTTGACACTCTCTGAAATTACCACTAAGGTTTATGGTTACACAAATTCTGTGTTTATGATCTTAAATTTGTTATTACCACAAATTGAGTGAAACCCAAAATTCAACACATACTTACGAATTGACGATGAAGAATTACATGTTCTAGATTTTTCACCAAGGAATTAACGAATGTCCACTTACGTGGTCTGTACCAAGAAATCTATTTTTCTTTTGTGAGATCTTCATGAAATGTTCTAGTCCTAAGACGTTTTTCTCAATAGATCCTGTTTTATTTTTCTTGAGATTTCTATATTTATCCTAGTCATTGAAAATTATTCCCAAGGATACTTCACTGGTCAAACAAGTACTTCATACGAACGTTCAGACCTATGTTGAGTTTTGGACTTAGTTGAAGAAGAAGACACCACATTTGCCTTATTAAAAGAAGCCTTTCACTGTTTCTCTACAAACAAATGATCGTAATCCAACGGGACACCACAAAAGCACTTCAAAGTCTCTCTTGAGTAGGAAGGAAAAGATCGATGCCCGAGGTCCATTTATTTTATGTCTTAAATGACATCACTAGAATCCCTAAGAAAACTCGCTTTATTTCTTTATCTTTGGCACACTCTTGCAAGAAGATCTTTATGATTTTCAAAATTCTAGTTCATTGTCCTATTGGTTACTTTCAGGTTTAAAGTACTATCAATGGTGATCAATTGAGAATGTATGCGACTGCGAAAGTCAGAATCTAAAAGGACGGTTCTAAAAGAGAAGATTTGAAATGTAGGCGCATGGAATTTGAAACGGCTCCTGACTTGATGCCTACTTTACCACCGCCTGACACACACGTCTGAAGTAACATTTGTCAGTCACACCTTTTTAGGAGACTTTTTAAGTAACCGATGCAACAAATTGATAGATTTCTCTCACCTCCTATACCGTATAAAAGGATTTTAATGCTTCATTACTTAATTACCACTTTTAAAAAACAAACAAAATCCCCTGGCAATTATTCTCTCTACTGTATATCTCCTTCAACACGCATCAATGACAGGTTCTTCAGAAACCCCTTCCGTCCAAGAACAATCAGTATAGTCTTTGATTCTCAACATAAAGGCAAACCAAAACATGATACTCGACCTTGATCCAGTCAAATACGACGGGTTTCTTCAACCCATTTTCGAATGTTTGAGGTATTCTCAACTGGTCATTGCTCTTACCAACTCAGAAATTGTTCTGTTGGTGCATCTCTCCAAAGCCTACTCTACAACCAGTTACCAAAAGGGAGAGGAGCTAATCACGTTTGAAATCCAAGACCATAAAACCCAAATAACAAAATTGAGGTTCTGTAACCTCTTAGGGCTTCCATAGGGTCGTGACCTAATTAACCCTGAGAGCGTCTCCAACTCAGCAATTCTGGAGATGTTCTACCATATAGGCTACAAGGAAGTGTTGGATGTTGTTTCAAAGTTCAAGAAACCCCACTTGCCACCGATGTGGAACGGCCTATTCACCCTTCTGTTCAAGAGCTTTTCGGAGAGGTTTACTGGCTCGGACTGTGCTGGAAAATTATTTATGACCATGATGTATGGCATCTACTACGGCATCAACTTGGATTATGGTTCGGTGCTTTGGACACAATGAAATATCCTTTGCTCATTTCTGGACCATTGTCGTGCAACGGGCGATCAACAAGCTCAACATCCATGTTTTGGAAAGTTCGTGTATGGATTCAATCTAGATCTTTCACACCATGAACATCATACTTGCTGATAACTCTAAGTTCAACTTCATCGATTACATTTCTGAAGTTATGCTGCGAGAGGTTCCGGCTAAAAGTACTGCGAGCCTATCACAGTAAGTCTCTGGCTTTCTCCCATTGATTGATAAATTCCAACTGATTCTCGCAGAGGTTGACAAACCCAAAAAAGGGGGAAAGAAGAGGGATGTGAAATTTAGTACATCCGAACCTCCTCAAGCACCTAAAAAGAAGAAGATCAAGAAAGTGGCTCGTAAGCCATGATCTCCAACTCCGAGTGACCACGAGGACTCGCAATCGCAAACGGTTTTGGAGGTTCCTATTCAACAAGAGGTTTGTAACAAAGATGCCGCTACATCTCAGCTGAAGGTTTCGGAGCCTTCAACTACGAATCCTGAGGTAATTTTTGAGATCCCTACCTCCACTCCAATAACAGATGAATTTTCCATGATTTTTCTATCTCTTCACCCACTGCTACTATCTCAATCCCTATCAAGATTGCTCTTTGCCCACCGGTGTCAATGGGTGTTTCACAAGTCCAAACCTCACTCTTCACAGATTCCACTGCCACCACCACTACCTCATCTGTTGAACCTCCAATAATTTTCAACGCATCTAATACGGGGGCAGGTGCTTCAGGTTTCTCAGTTGGTCATTCTACTCCACCCATCTCTCCTTTCTGCCAGGATGATCCAGACATGATTTATGGTGGTGATGACTAGGACTTTGGAGGATTCACCTACAATACCTTCAATAATCGAACTAAAAGTGATGACGAAGCGCCCGTCACAAAAGGGCAACTCAAGGCTATCAATGAGAAACTAGATTCGTTGCTCCAATCATCTAAAGCATCATCCAGTGAATACTATTCTTAAACAATGATCAAGTCCTTCCTCGAGACCCTCATGAAATAACACTCAGATAACCTTGAGAAGACAAAAAAAGTTGTGGATGCTGCAACTTCAGTGTGCCAGGAAATGACCGAAAAAGTCGATAAACTAATTATGGATGTTCGTTATTTCATGAGAAAATTTTAGAGCTCATTCAAGTACAACACTGTGATGGCTAACGAAGTTATTCCTAGCCTTGGATCTACACTTAGAACGGAGAAGGCGAAACTAGAAGAGGTTCGTACTGGCCTCCAAACAGACAATGCCTAGCTCAACTCCTCCATTTCATCAAAGATTACACAACTTCAGGATGCTTGGCCACTAAGAGGAAGATTATGGATGCTCTGATAGTGAAGATAGAGAAATTAACGTACTCACTGTCAAGCTTGAGCAAGCCGAAACATGAATCAACGATCTCCTATTTGAGAAAGCTGTTATGAAAAGATGTATCTCAGACATGAATGCACTGCTTGTGGATATCATCGAGACTCGTGACTCGATGATCAAAAACACAGTCAAGAAGCACCTGTCTGAAAAGCTAAGGCCCATATTCGCTATGCTCAACTGACTGAAAGGTGTTCTAGAATCAAGCTCAATTCTGAAACAAGGGGGAGAAGGCGTGAAACAATCCAAGAAGGAAAACCCTAAACCTACAATAAAGCCCACTGTCAAGCGTAAGAAAGAAAATGAACCAAAAGGCAAAGAGAAATCGATCAATGAATAACCAATAATTGATGACAGTGAAGAAGAAGAGCCTGATGAACATGAGCTTAAAATAAGAAAAGATCGTGAAGCTAAAATGGATGAGCACCAAAGAATTGTCCATGAGGCCGAAGAGAAAGAAAAGGCTGAACGCGAGGCTCAAGTCATGCTAGAAAGAGAAAGATTTTGTTTCTTGCATGGTCTTTGGAGCGAATCCTGAGTGAAGTTGTGGATATGTTGAGTCAATGTTGGTTGGAACCACTTGTGTCTTTTGATATTCAAAATACACAAGATTCATAACTGGATCTTCCAATCACACTGAAAGCCTTCAAGTTTCTCAGTTTTGTCAAAGTTACGAATGTCCCTCCAACAGACAGTAGTGCAGATAACTTACTTTTCTCATTCTACCTAAAGCACATGAAGCCTCAGTACGAGACATGGAGTGCGAACAAGATCATGACTGTGAAGGTTGTTGGTCTAATTGAAACTAATAGCTTCCCCAATGCAAAATTTAAGGTTGCGAGAGGTTCAACGAGTCAGGTGCATGTGTTTACTCTTGTTGATCTTCCATGCATGAACCCGTATGATTCGATCCTGCTATACAACATGCTGCTAAGGGACAAACAGAATTACAAGCCTGATGTTTCTCTGTAACGCTCTGTTCCGAATTGACTTCTAGTCTAAGGTTGTGGGCCGAAGGTTGGTCTTCATAAGGAGTATGGCTCTAGAGAAGGTAAGATCTAGGCCCATTTGGGTGCGGGTGATGTATTAGAAGTGTTTCGGGTGTTCGGGTTGTGTTTTGGAGCCTAGGGGTAATTTGGTAAAGTGTCAGTTTGGGCTTTTATAGATAATGGATTTTTGTTCGGAAGGTCTTAAGGAAAGTTTGAGTTATTAGAAGTGTAGAGCTTCTCGTCACCTTTCCGTGGATATAAGGATCGTTGAAAACGGATTTATAACGAAGAAGTTATGGCTTTCGGAAGTTTAGCAGTTTCAGGCTTAGGGAGTACGTTCGGCGTAATTTGGATTACACTGGGCGTAATGAACAGGAGTGGTCGCAAAGGTTCTCTGGAGTACGATGGGCGTACCAGAATTACGCTGGGCGTAATCCCGTCAGATCAGAATCGTATTTTAGGGTCTTGGACCCTATTTAAATCCCTTATTTCATAACCAAATCCTATCATCTTCAGCCTCCACCCCTATAAACATTAGAAATCATCTTATAGCATCCATGGTGCCATTTTAAGCTTATAGAGTCCATTTTTGGGGTGTTTGTGACAACCTGAAATTCATTCCGTTGCTGTAACCTATTTCCGTTAATAAAACTCGTTTTTATTAAAATTTTCCGTTAACTTTTGGGTTAGGCAAATCAATTAATGTTTTTATTTTTATTTTCATAAGTTTCGAAACGCAATAAAAAGACGTGAAACACCCTTGAATTCATTTGGAAAGGTTTTTAGCTTACGACCAAGTCGGGTTACGACCATTTAATCGGGTACGACCGTAAACTCCATTTAACGTCGGGATCGGGTGGATCCTCACCTGGACACAAACTCAAACCCTATATAAGGGTTGAGTGGCCTCCATTTGAGTCTTTTCCCACTCCTAAAGGTCTCTCTCTACTCTCTATCTACAACTCGATATTTGATCAAGAAACACCTCATTCAAGCTCCAAAATCGTAAGTAATCCTTCCTAGCTTGTTGTTTAACTTTGTATCCATGCAAATTCGGGGTTTAATTATCCAAATACCTCAAAAACTTGTGTTTACGGTTGGGGAACACCTCCCAAAACCGTAAACACCCATAAGTGGGTTTTGAAGCCCTAAAACCCTTCCAAAACCCTTCTAATGCTTAGATATGACTTAGAAACTATCATGCATGAACATAGAACTCCAAAATCATGTCTTTATGGGAGTAAACATGATTTTACGGTCCATGACCATTCATGAACCGTAAACACCTTTTTAAGGTGTTAAAATGCCCTTAAACACCTCCAAAAGCATGCATAAGTGCCTAGAACCTTGTACCCTTTCATTTGAAACCCAAAATCATGCAAGAATGGGCCAATCATGAGTTTACGGCTATAAACTCATGTGTTTATGGTAGTAAACTCACCAAGAACACATTCAAAAACCGCAAACTCCCTAAAGGGGTCAAAGGGTGCCCTAACTTCCTTCTAGGGCTTGTATAAATGACTTGAAACTTGTAAACTTAACCTAGAACCATCAAAGCATGAAATGAAGGGGAAAGTATGAGTTTACGGCCATAAACTCTATGTTTACAGCCGTGAACTCCCTTAAAGGGTCCATTTGAAGCCCTAGTCACTTCCTATGCCCCAGATTTGAGCCTGGCTTATTTCGCCAAGTGATATAAGACCTTTGAGCAACCAAACACACCCCACCCATGAGTTTACGACCATAAACTCATGGGAATATGGTCTTTGGGCTGTAAACACCCCTAAGGGGCTCACACTTGAAGAGTAAACTCCTTATCAAGGCCCTACGCTCCTTAGATGCAACCCATATCACTTCCAACACTTGAGATAAAGTGTTTTCACGCATCGGACTGTACTATCTTATTTAATTATTTGTTCAATATCTAATTAGATACAATTGTGTATCACTTCATGTTACGTAGGATCCTCGCGCGTGTTCAAGCCCTAAATTGACACTTAGCATCCTACCCGGCACATTCTCGTCTGGTGAGTTCATACCCCTACACTTTTTCTGAGTTTTTCATGTTTTCAGGGGGGGGGGGATACAAGCAAATCATAAAGGTTTTCGTAATTTAAAAACTGATTTAATTATACGATTTTCTGACAAACTTTTAGATACTTTATCCCTTTTGTAATATGCGAAGCATGAGGGAGGTTTTCTGAATATAATTACATGGTTTTCAAACAGCATGGAAACTTAAGAAATCATTCAAATTATTATGGGAATAATTTGGGATCTTCATTACTTGTTTTACAGATTCAAATTATGTGCAAAGTCAATAATATAAACTATGTCTGATTTAGTTTATCCATGTTTAATCTAGAGTATTATGCTAAATAATTACTTTGTATTTAATTATTTATACTCTACCTTGTTCCAAATGGTTTCGAAACTCGAGAACGATCAATTATCCCTTTAATCATTTAATACTAGCTTGTGATTGTCTTCGTTATACCCTTCGGGGTACCAGTAAATCCTCTCCGGAAGTATAACCAGAGTTTACTGGAGGCAGAGCGTGAAATTTGTGGATAGATCTATTTGGGACTGACAATCCCACACCTAAACTGCTAGCTACAGTTAGGCGGGCACGCCTAGGGTGACAAATTTTGGAATCGATCGATGCCTGAAGAACGTCAAGGAGGTTACGGGTCAAATCAGTATGGTTATACGACTCACAATATGTATTAAACTAACTAACTTTGTTCACGGATTTCTTTCTTTCTTCCATAGTTTTATTTATGAAATAAAACTACCTGCTTTCGTACTGGAGGGTATTCCAAGGATCTTAACCTATAGTTTTATGTATTAAAACTACCTACTTTTGTACTGGAGGGTATTCCATGGATCTTAACCTATGGTTTTATGTATTAAAACTACCTACTTTCATACTGGAGGGTAATCCAGGGATCATAACTCATGGTTTTCTTATCATACTGGTGATGACCAAGGTTTTTCTTATCTTATGGAAATCGACTAACATGTTAGAAAATATGGGATTTTCTGGGAAAACATGCATATGTATTTCATAACTCAATAACAATGGTTTTCGATATTACGACATTCTTTATCAAAGGAAATGAAGTATTTTCACAAGGTTTAATAACCAGTTTTCCTTACAAAACATGCTTATTAACTCACCAGCTTTATGCTGCTATTTTTAAAATTGTTTGTATTCTCAGGTCAACGTTAGACAGGTACTTCGATCACTTTTGGAGAAGACGGAGCATATAGAAGTCTCGCCTTTATTTTTGTTCGTACTGATGTATATATAAAACATGTATTACTTTGTTTCAAACAAATGTAAATATTTCTTTGTAATGTAGTGGTTGTGTTTACTATGCTTTCTATGTACATTGGTTGTGATACTAGGCATGATGTCCTCCGCCTCGGAACAATTCCGCCGTTGGTTTCGGGGTGTGACGGATTGGGATCAGAGCCCTTGTTTATAGTGAACTAAGTATACCGAACCTTACATGGTATAAAGCTATAAACACTAAGGGGCCGAAGCGCTCTGAACTAAAAGTATACTTTAAAATACAAGTATTTTTCAAAAAGTATACAAGAATACCTAAATGCCAGAAACCGTAACCACGAGTCGAACAAAACATAAGTAATTGGGTGTTGTACACTGCGATTAAACCTGGGCATTTATGTAGTCGTGTGTAGGGTCAATATAGCCTAATCAACTATATTCATTCGAGACACGACCAACATGTGCTTGGGAGTGACTATGGTGTGCAGCAAGCCTAAAACTTACCAAATATCCAAACAATAAGTTATCATCACAACAAAACATAAAATACTATGGGAGTATTTTCTAGAGCCAATTTCGTTATAGAAATCCTCATTCAAGTGTTGCTACTAAATTCCTATAGCGATAATTTACTTGCTTTAGTAACTTTTCCTGTCATATCGCTTAGTAGAACACTTTATCTGCCATAATGAGATATCTTGTCACACCCCGCTAAAGCGGAAACACGAGGCATGGCAGAATAAAGGGTTTCATAGCAAAAGTTAAAAGATAACACCAACCATAGTATTAAAAATCATTACGAATTTACAATGGGTTTGAACAAATTTTAACAGAAATTACAATGTAAATTGAAATACAACACATGTGAATGCTCCTAAAAGTGATGTGTCCCTAAGTGCCACTTACTTGATGATTCCTGAAAAAGCATGTAAAACGAGCGTCAACTATAAAAATAGTTGGTGAGTATTCACAGATAAACAAAATAATATTGGTTCCATGAATAGAAATCAATGTTTTGATAAAAGTTTCCAATAACAAAAGTATATTGTTAAAATAAGTAAATAAGTTTGTAAAAACAACGTTAAGAGTTCTTTGTCATCATGAGAGATAAAGTATGTTGCCCAAATAAGATGCAACATTCATATTCTCATGGAAAATAAAGTTCGTTACTCAAACGAGTAAACAAGTTTCATTGCTAAAATGAGCAATCAATTTTGTTGCTACAAGGAGCAAACAATTTCATTGCCAAAACATATATATAAGTTTTCAGTAATAAAAGTTTGTTGTTGTAATGAGAAACAAAGTTCATTGCTATAATTAATAAACAAGTTTATTGCTATAATGAGTAACGAGTTTGTATGTGTACGAGCAAACAATGAGTTCTCAACCAAACCTATGACTGAGGCCCTATCAAGATCTATGCTTATCATTCAATAGATGAATATGGTATCATGCACTCCAGCAATAGGGCGAGTGAGGAGTTGTCAATTCCTAATAGCGCTATCCATAATGACCATTGGCTCAAAGAGTTAATGGTTAGAGATAAGGGAAGGGCCTTAATACGATAAGTTCTCATGTTCCATGTTGCATAGACATACATAGAGAGATATAGCAATAAAACAGCAATCATGTTTGATACAAATCAATTTGAATACAACATCTAAATAATAGTTTTTCGGGACATGCTT